TTTTTGTGTGAAAATTCTCGATTTTGTATTTTACATTTTTAACTTTATTATGCTATAACTTTTTGAAAAATGTATGGATTAACACAATTTTTTTATGAGAAATAATATTTTTTAATAATCCCTTTTTCATTTGACATACTTTATATTAATTAGGATATTAAATAAGGAACTAGCAGATCATGTAACTTTTGGAATAAACCACCAATTTTTTAAAATTAAACACTATCTAAAGATTTGTATCGAAGCCTTTTTTTTTATAGTGATTTTAATCACTGTCAGATATTATTATACTTGATCCAACTATGCTACGTCACCACTGTGCTAGGTTGGGTTTTTTTTCATTTTATAGTACAAGACATGACCTTTGATTTGGTATGTGTTTAAAGGACGCAGTATTTCCGGAGCATTTTCAAAAGTTAAGTTTAAAATGTTAGTTTTTGTAAAAACGTTACTATTTTAAATCTCCCCCAGTGAGCAGGTTAAGCGTTTGATTTTCAAAAAAATTATGTCAAACGTAAGGGAAATATCTAAGGTTTTAATATAAAAAAAATTATGTTGATTTGTTGATTTTTGAAAATTTTCAGTTGAAAAAGTTAACTTTTGTGAATTAGTTGCTATTTTGAAAGTTTTTTTCAGTTGACTATGAAACAATTTTTTATTTTTAGAATGAAAATATAATTTAAATAAATAAATGTAAATAATTTTTCAATAATTAAAAATCCAAAAAACCTAAATTGTATTCATTTTTTAAATTGCATATTAATTTCAAATAAAAATTAGGAATAAAACGGATTTTATGAAAACAAATAGAATAATTTTAATATTATAATTAGATTTTTAGGTGAGAAGCCAACGAGTTACGATTTATATTTTTATGACTCGTAACGCATCAATGTTTACAATAAAATAGGTTCACGAATTCTATTGAAGAAAATCAATAATATACTTTATTGTTAACAATTAACAGACACCCTATTTCCGTCAAATATAGTTGCCATGTATATTAATTGATATACTTTTATAGATAGTCTGTTAATAGAAAAAAACTGATAATAACATCCAATCGGGAAAAATTTTTTTTGTTACAATCAGGGTACTTAATAAAGTATTTTCTGTAGTGTAAGAAAAATTCCTTTTTAAATAGATCTCGTTCCAGATAAAATACCTTTAAAAAATAATCTCATTCCCCTTTCGTTCGTTTTTGTTTAAATAATATTTTAAAACCATCTATAATTTCTATATTAATATTATAACCGTAGATTAAATTGAAAGTATAGGATATATTTTAATTATCTTGTGCATATGTGCAATTTGAACAAAATATTTGGGGTATCTAACTTAATTGCTCCCGTCTTTATAAATATTATTACATAAATTAATTTCTAATATTCATAATTTAAACTTCGATGTGAAACTGAGAAGCTATTAATTTTTACCATTATGTGTTTATGTTATCTTTTTGTCTCTGTTACAACTTTTTCTCAACTCTCACTGGACCGATATTTCTTAACAAATATATAAGTGTTACCGATGCGGCAACTGTGCATCGAATTATTCGGTTAATAAAAAAAACAATTTGAGCTAGTTCAAAATTTCTATGTTGTTTATTTTTACTTAAAAAAATTAAAAATAAGTTTAACTTTATATTCTATGTCAATTAAACTCATATACGAGGCTCAGATATTATAAGAAATTAACTAAATGTAATTAAATGAAAAAGAAAGGCTCAAAACATAATTAATAGTAAAAATACACAATACTGAGCACCGGATAGGACTCATCCTAAAATAGAGATCTCGAAAATGGCCGAAGCCTTAAAAAGAAATTATAACATTTTTTTATGTTTAGTCGTCACGCGGGAAGAATAAAAACTTTTGCTTCCAGCAAGGAGCCAATAGATCAACACGGTGGTTGATGGATAAAGAAATTTAAGTTTTCTTTGACACATTCGGGTGAGACACACCGATGGAGAAGATGACTTAGGGCATCGGACTAACAATTTAATATCATGAAGATAAAATTATTAACAATATTAAAATTATACAGGTATTGACAGTGATGGCCAGTGTATGTTTCATATAGGGAACGATTATTAAATTGTAGTGTGTAGCGTTCACCATGACAGCAACAGTGCAGTTTTCTGATTACACGGCCAAATATAACGTACGCGACCTAATTAGCAAAACAAAACATTAAATTTATCAATACCATATGAAATGTACATAAATTAATAACATTTGAAATGAATAAATTTAATTATCTGTATGAAAAAAGTTGGTTAACTTTTTATTTAATATATGGGAAATTTCTTTAAAATTTTGAGAGTAATATATTTTACTAGATACTAGTTGTTATCATTTGATGTATCGATAAAGAAAATTTGTCAAATGTGAGTTGAAAAAAATTAATGTCAGACACAAAAAAAACCACAAAGTGAAATAATTCTTTGATATTAATTTAAGTTATTCAATCTAAATAAGATAAAAATGAAAAATTTCGAATTTCATGCATCGAAACAGACTGACCTCTAGACAATTAAAGTTAAGTAAAATAGTTTAAAATATGACGAAATTTACCGATTTTAAAAATAGTATTTTTTGGGCATTTTCCCTATTAATGGTGATTAAGGGAAATTTTTTTAATTTTTAAAAGTAATGTCTTTAATAAGATACGATTTATGATATTTTGACATATCATTGAAAAAAATTAATCAAGTGAAAGCTGAGAAAATGTAGTATCAAACTCAAAAAATAAATAAACAATAAGCAATTGTAAAATTAATACCTTCTCAGTTTCGCATCGAAGCTATACTATAGTTTTATTCAATCCACCATACTATATGTCCTCAGCGTTTAAGTATAATTAAGTCTAGGCAGAACTAACGTGTTACTTTACATTTTTTTTCTTTTAAGTAGTATTGTTATACTGAAAAATGTACTGAATAAATATATTACACTATTGAAACTCAAAATACACTAAAAACACTATTACTTTCAAGTAGTAATTCTAGAAGTATCCAAGTTAAAAATTAATTTACAACGGAGTTCAGAAACATAATATATGTGTGTTATATGGCTTGATATGAGCAAAATAAGGTTTCAAAGGACAATGTTAGATTTTAATGACATGTTTACATATTTTAAAATATTTTCAAATTGGTTTGATGAATATGGTTTTGTCAAAATGATTTTTCCACCCTAAAAAAATGTTTTTATAGGACGACTTCATCAATGAATAAACAGTTAAGAGTTTTTACCTTTTAAAGCTCTTCATCATTTTATATTTTGATGGCACATTCATAAATTTAATACATTTTTGTCCTATTCATTTTTTATAATGAAATTGTAAAAATATTTATAAATAACTAACAAAAAAATTTTAATTTACTTTTAAATGATAAAAATTGAAATTTTTAGTAAATAGTATATTGTATTGATAATTGTGTTATTGCAGTAGGATTTAATTTAGATATTGTCTTTGTTATAAAAACTGCTAGTAATAACTTGTTACAATTAGATTAGACAATTTTTGGGGAGAACTAATTTTCTAATNTTACAATTAGATTAGACAATTTTTGGGGAGAACTAATTTTCTAATTGGTGCAACTAAAGAATTAGATTGGTGCTACTTGAGTTTCAATGTAGATAAAATATATTTTAAAAATGCATAATTAAAAATTTTAATGAACTAAAAATATTTATTTAAATAAATTTTAATTTATACTTACAGGATATTACTTTCAATTAATATTAATGAAGTCTCATAATGAGGTTCTATAGTGTAAGATAGACATAATCAGAAAATAATTCCGAAATTTAGAAAAATAAACTAAATTCAACTGAGTAAAGAATATTATAAAATATCATGTTATCAACAAACGCACGTTAAAGAACACGGACAATTTTTTATTAAACTACAGGTGGTGTTATTGCTGATATTATGTGAATGTATCTAAGGTAACGAAGCAGAAAGTAAAAACAGTAAAATAAGTATTTTTCACTTATATTTTAGAACTTTCTATTTCATCAACAAAGTTGAATTTTTGAAAAGGTTTAAATTTATTTTAACTTATTTCTATTGGTTAATTTATTTTGATTGATTAGTTAATAAAATTACAAACATTGTTTAATGTCAACATTTATACCAAGTTTTAATTTATTAACACTAGATTTATGGAGCAGTTACGCATGCGTGTAACAAACGGTAAATTATTACTATTATTATTAATAATATTTGTGTTCGAAAAATATGTGGAAGAAAATAGAATTTAGAACAAAGGTTTAATCCATTATCTCATAATGTAACGCAGAATAATTCAATTTATGTTCCTACGTATCTATACCATTTAATGATATCGAGAAGTTATTTATAGTTAAAAAGTGATAAATGTAGTTGTAAATTTTAAAAATTATTAAAATATCATAAAATCTATGTAAAATCAAATTATTTACTGTGCGGATAAATGGCAGAAAAAACAGTACCGCCAATATAGGAAAGGTAAATGTTACAATTCGGCACTAAAAGCCTCTATTTAATCATGTTTAGTGTTGTGCTATTATAATATAGAGATCACAAATTGTATCTTGTCGAAAATATTACTCTCAAAATTTGATAAAATATTCCTCGTTTTACAAAAATGAGGGTAACCTTCAAAAAAATTATAATTTAGAAAATTGGTAATTTTTGAAACTCTTTTTACTTAAAACTTCCATAACTTAGAAAAATGCATTAATAAAAACAAACATTTTTTTCAGATATACTTTAGGTTTATACCTATAATTTGACGTATATTTTTTTAAAGTTAGGCCGTTTACTTATCCATAGGGGATATGCATCAACTTGCGACATGTGGACAGATAGATAATTACCGAAAAAATAGCTATACATTAGTTACTTTACTTTATATAGACGATAACTAGAAGTTAAAAAGTTGATTACTTTTTACTGGTAAATTTCCCTTAAATAAAACAAAAACTGTCGAAAATAAAAAACATTTTTTACACAATTCTGTTTTGCAAATAAGTGAGGCTGCAAATTAAACTAATTGTAATTTAATGTCTAATATAACATTTATTACTGACCAAAGAACTAATATGATATCAGTACTTAGAAGTTCTAAAAGTCTTAATTGAAATGTCTTAAACTCAACATAGTTTTAAGAAATGTATTGAATGATAGATTTTTGAATTATGAAGATGAAGACGCAGAAAAACGCCTGGAACCTGTTACAACATTAATAGGTAAATTTAAAATTTTAGTAAGGAATTTGAAAAACGGTGGAAGGAATTGTAAACTTAAGGCATCTGGGTACCGACCTTTTTCAGGGGTCGAATATAGGCAATTTTGCGATTTTTATATGTTACGCAGTGTCGTTGTGTGAGAAATACATGATTATTAGTGTGAGTGTCCATTATTGGGAGTATTTTCGTCGTGTTATTGTCGATAACAAAACCGGTTGTGTACCTGCCTTACTTTTTGATGCAATACGATTATATTGATAACGACACACGTTTATTTTATGTAGTATAAAAACTATAGTTTAGCACCAGCCTCACTGTAAATACTAATAGACGTGTCATGATTTCATAAATTTTTATTGATTATAAAAATAATTAAACTATTTATTTTCGATGATTAAGAAAAACTAAATATTTACAGAAAACAAGTTAAATCATATGAGATCCACATCGATTGTTTTGAAGTTATAAAACTATAAAAAAACTAATTTTAATTATAAGAATTCAATTTACAAAATTACATTATTTACACACTAAAATATTTAAGTTTTATAAGCCTGTTCTTATGGGAAGTCCTTTATCATTCACTTATCCATTTTCAATAGCAAACCTAGTTTCTTCTTTCCCCGCTAACTATATCGAATCCCATGCAGTTTTTTCAGTTTGCGTAGCAATATAATTATGATATTTTTGATACGTCTTATTACTCATACAAGGCATATTTAGTACAGCAGAAAACTGTTCTAAATTTGTAAACCCCTGACTAGTATTCAATGTAGCAGTAACAACTGCAGTATTTATACTAAGAAAATCATTTAATTTGGAATCCTCTGAATAAATAATTTCTTTTTTTTTGCAAAAATTACATTCAAAGAAATTCTGAAAAAAACCCCTTTGAACTTAAATACAAGATTTGAAAAATTACAGGCAAATAACTCGTGTTTAATTGATTTCAAACTATTAAAAAAATATTCAATATTTATTATTCTACGACTGTTTAAATTATACCTAAAATAGTTAAATATGTGTATTAATTTAATTGTAAAATAATACTATAAAAAATAAACTAACTATTTTTGAACNATTAATTTCATTGTAAAATAATACTATAAAAAATAAACTAACTCTTTTTGAATAATTGGTTAACTTCTGAAGAAATTTTTTTACAAGTATCAAGAGTTTGTGCACTGGGTGACAATGGTAAAAAATCATAAAAACTATCATCTCCAATTTTTCTAAAGAAAAAAAAAATGTTTGTTTCTAATAAATTATATTTTAACCTTGCCCTTCTTTAAAAATTTTTCTTCGTGAAAAAATTACTCACTCATTTATTAAATTCTCCTCGTTACTTGTTTGAGGTATGTCAAGTAAAATGTTAGTTTGAGAATTGGAAACATTCTATCAAAATAATGTATATTGTATTTATTTTTTAATTTTCATGTGTAGCTATTAATAAGAACTATTAATTTTCAGTCTGATGGTGTACCTAAATAATTTTTTTTTTTTTGAAATGTCACTTATACTTCATAAATTCTAAGCACTTCGTATTATATTAAATATAGGTTATATTCATTATCACTCAAATCTGACCACCTTTTTTTTAAAAAAATGATTTACTTTTTTTTTTGTATGTAGTTTAAAATTCATTTTATAATTAATGTAAGAGATTTATATATTCGATGATCAAGCACTTAATGTATGTGTACATTTCAAATGTGTTGAAATAAAAAGCTCATAACATCAGTTACTTAGTGTTAGATCTAGTTTGATAACATAGTGTGCGACTGAGAAAAACACGTTTTTGTGTCAGATTTAAAGAGAAATTATTAAAATATAATGCTGAATACATCAACAAGATATATTTTTTGATCTTTTGGCGTATCATTGAACAATAAATGTCCAGTAGGTACAGATATGGATAGACACAAGCAAAAAACACATCATTGTAAAACTAATACCTTCTCAGTTTTCTATCGAAACTAAGAAAGTGTATGAAAATTATTTTTATATATTCGTACCTTATCAGATATTTTTTTATGACTCCCAATTTTTTAGGGGGCCCTTATATAGGAATACAATAACAAAATTTGTTTCTTACTATGTAATGACAGCTTTGCAAATAAGATAAAAGCAAATAATCTAATATCATATATACAGGTATAATATCAAATATGCATTGTAACTATTTTTAGGCAGTCGGTATTGCCCTATGCAACCTATGAGCAATAAAATAGCTGCTGCGGATAACGCACGAGCATGTCACATATAACAGCTACTGTTTGAAAACCATTAGTTTGAGCGTACAAAATAACCCGTTTTTGTTCCATCAGTACGACAAAACTACTGATTCGATAAGAATTCTGAAAACAAATTTGAATTTAGTATCATGTCATTTAGGTATCGGTGAGGCCACTGTTTTGAAATTGTGATTCCTTCAACGTAAAAAATTATTTTGAAAATTTTAAAATTATTCTAAAATGAAAACTGTAATAAAGGGTTAAAAACATCAAAATTTCAAAAATAAGGCCTGACCGATACCTAAGTGACATGATGCTGAATTCAAATATGTTTTCAGAATTCTTATCGCATCAGTAGTTTCGTCGTACTGATGGAACAAAAACGGGTTGTTTTTTACTAAAAAGCGGTCGGTACCCAGATGCCTTAAAGGATTTGAACAAGAAGTAGAGATTAGATGGAACACACGATTATTAATGTTACAATTTATACAACGTGCACTTACAGAAATTATTGAAATTCATGGACAAATATTAAATATCTGATGAACTTGAATCTAATAAACACTTTACTATTCACAAAGTTATATTGTATCAGAATTTATTAAAAAAAACATTTAACTTTATATTAATGACGATGATGTCAACATTTCCATTATATTAAAATTATTAGGTAAGAAAGGATTAGAACTCATGAACTCCAAATTTCAGTTAGACA